TAGAAATGAATCAGTCATGTAAAGGGATGGGAAGGAACCAAGGGCAAGCAGCATCAAAGACATCTCCAGAAAACTTGAAGAACTGACCCACTGGCTAAATAAAAGATAATAAATGATTTAATGCATTCTTTCTGAAAAATGTTTGAGGCCCACTGGAAATAAGAGCTCTGCTTTCAGTGACCTCATCGCACATATTCTACCTGTATCTTACATCTGTGTCTCACCCTATACTCAGATATTTTACTGGTAGAAGTTGGTAACTTGGTGCATAAGGACTGTGAAGCTTAATCAGCATCACAGGCAAATGAGTGGTGGGTTGTGTCCCCATCCCCTCGATATCCCATCAATTAAAGCATATCACATACAAACCCTCCAATATTTTCCCTAAAACAAAGACAAAATACAGTGGATGGGAAAAAGCATGCAGTACAACTCAGATTTAGGTCTTGTCTTAAATATACCAATTTTATTATTACTTCTGTGCCAACCCTGTATAAAAAAATTAAAAGGTTCATAAGAATGTACAATTAAAATAAATGTTATTTCTCTGAGAAGAATAAAAAAAGCTTTAGAAAACCATTTGTATCTACAGACAGTCACATCAGCATGACAAAGATGTTCATTCTCCCTTCTTCCCTGCATTTGACATTCCATAACCCAAGGCATTTAATCTTGCAGAACCACACACAAAGAACTTCTCCTACTGCATTTTTAGAAATTGCTCTGCTCTGATATAAATAACAAGAAAAATAGGACTGACTTTTTTTAAAGTGAAAACACAAATGGGACTGTTCACAAATAAGCCTATTAATCATCTCCTTTTTGCAGGACCTCCAGTAACCCTTGGCCATGTCACATCAGTGTGAATTTTTTTTGTATGAAACTTTCAATTTCTAGAAGGTCATTTTTTCATTATGCAGATTCTTTTGAAAAGCAAGTTTAAATCACTTATATTTCTGGAATTTTTAACAATGTGCATGTGCCAAGAAGCTTTTTTCCCCCCAAGAACTGAGCTATTCCTTCCACATAACAGACAGAGAAAAAGGAGCAATTATATAGCATTATTCTACAGAGAATATATCCGTGAGTGAAAAAGGATGACAACCTTTTCATTGTAGATGCATAAGAAAAGCCATCTGGCCCTCTGAAAGAGCCAAACATGTTTCCTTTAGCAGTCTCAGGAACCGCAAAAACACCCTTTTTAAGCGTTGCCCTTCAACATTGGCAAGTTTTATCATTCCTTTCAACAGAACGGCAACCCACGTTTAGGCAGATGAACAGCCCACGTCCCTAAACTTCCTAATACACATACATCCTTCCACGTATAGCACAAAAGTTAGGCTTATGCACCAACTCCCCCTCAAAAGGCATCAGTCCCTCAGTACTAACCTTTTCTTCCGTAACTAGTCATCTTTTATCTTGGACAGCTGTCTGAAATCAGGTAGGCTATTACCTCCACCCCCTCCATGAAAGTAAGTCAAACAGAAGAAAAACCAAAAAAGATAAAAACCAATCCACTAACGATATTCTCAACATAAGAAAAACATTCATCAGATGGCCAGGGTAACATTTCAAAACAAGATATGGATCTAACGCCTAGAAGCAGGAAATAAGCTGTCTGAGACCAGTGCTGTATTCTCTTAACACACACAGAACACTCCAACCAACCACAAAACCAAAAACACAAAGAAAAGACAGCAGCATAGTTCCAAACCTTTGTTCCTAAGCTCACAGAGTGAATTCTGAGCTCAGAATAAAAGGGCTTGGAGCTTAACTTTTGTTTTACAGAAAGAAGATATCCTTAGATGAAGAGTTAATGTTTGAGAATTTCATAGAGGCACTGACCACAGTTGCATCTTAAAGCACTTCTGCCTTTGCTCTCTTGCCCTCAATTTCCAGGATGTAAAGCTAGATCAGCAGAAGGAATCAGGAAATGTTACACAAACTTCACAGCACATACAAACACATCCAGTCAGATTTTGGAGGCTTACAGAAGGCATCCTGGGCTGCTGTTCTGAACAGGATACAAACCCACTGGAGAGAATCTGTCTGCTCTAAATAACTGCTCTCCTGGCATACTCCCTTCTTTCCCCTGAAATAAGAGTCCATTTCAAAGGATACTGGCAAATCAAACATACCCTCTACAAAACACTTCCTGCCAACATCTTAAAGAAAACCTAAAACATGATACTTGACTGATAACATGTCAGATCTATGAAAGAGGGATAAGGCACCTAATGCACTTGTACTGTTCTCTTTGAGAATAACCTATCCAGCTACTCAACTAGCTCTGAGGCACAGAAGTGTTCTAACACAGCCCCTATGCATATGTTTTTTATATTAACTTGAAAATAAAGCTCCATTTGAGGCCCAGTACCCCCACTAGGTATCATTTATCAGATCTGTGCAACAAGCCTTGCTGTCTTTGCAGCTTCCACATCATCTGCTAACGGCAACAGAAACAAGGCACAGGGTAGGAAGCTGGTACACAAACAAAACCTAAAGAACCTCACTGTTGAGGCAGTTAAGTGCTGCCCAGTATCTCAACCACCAACTTCCTTTCATGCTCAGCAAAGACAAGCCACATCTGTTCTTTTCACAGGAAGCCGCCAGCTCACACATTCCTCATGGTCTAAACTGATACCCTGAGATCTGATCACACAGGTATTAAGATGTCATAGTTCATAATACAGTTACTTGGAGCTCTGCGTAGAGTATAAAACATGATGTAGTAATTACAGGGTTCTGTGCCTCTGACCTCAAACACATTTTGAGGGTAATGTTTTGGTTTGGGGGTTTCAGATTTTTGTTTGTAAATTAGATCCTACAGCAGACAACATAACAGACAAATACATCAGTAATTTGTTCCTAACTTCAAAAGCAGAGTCTGAAAATAACAATTAAAAAAACCTACTTAGTCTACTTAAATAAGCAACATCCTCACAGAAAAACTGATGAAGCATGACCTAGATAACTCAAGAGTGAGGTGGATCAAGAACTGGCTTAGCTGCTGTGCTCGAAGGATTTGGATCAGCAGCACAACATCCAGCTGGAAAATTACCACTGGAGTAACCCAGATATTGATACCTCATGCCAATACTGCTCAATACTCTCATTAATGGCCGGCATCATGGGACAGAGCACACCCTCAGCAAGTTTGCAGGTGACACAAATCTGGAAGCAGTGGTTGATGCACCACAGGGTTGCGCTGCCAGTGAGAGGGACCTTGAGAGGCTGTAGCAATGGGCCAACTCAGCGCACTCGCGACGTTAACACGGGGATGTGCAAAGCCCTGCACCTGAGAGGAATAACCCCGTGCACCAGCACGGGCCAAGGACCAACTGGCTGGACAGCAGCCTGACAGAGGAGGACCTGGGGTCGTGGCAGATGACAGGTTGGCCATGAGCCCTCAGTCTGCCTTTGTGGCAAAGCAGGCCAGCAGCCTCCTGGAGAGGATTTGGAAGACCACTGCCAGCAGGTTGAGGGAGGTGATTCTTCCCCTCTGCTCATCACTGGTGAGACACGCCTGGAGTGTTGTGTGCAGTTGTGGGCTTGCCAGTCCAAGGCAGGCATGGGCATAGTGGAGACAAGCCCAGCAAAGGGCCCTGAAAACGATCACTCATGCAATAAGAAGCTGAGAGCAGAGAATTGTTTCGCATGGAGCAGAGAAAGCGGACAGGCATGGGCATAGTGGAGCAGGTCTGGTGACGTGAAAGGCAGGCTTGGGAGAACTCGGATTCACCTGTGAGAAAAGAAGGCTCAGTGGGATCGTATCACTGTGTATAAGCATCTGATGGGAAGTTGTAAGAAGGACTTTTTTCAGCAGTGCCCAGTGACGTGACCAGAGGTAATGAGCACAAACTGAATTACAGGGAATACCATTTACAATAAGGGAAAAAAGTTTACTGTATGGATGGTTGAACACTAGGACGGGTTGCCCAGAGAGCTTGTTGAGTCTCCATCCTTGGAGTTGCTCAAAACTTGACTGGACGTGGTTCTGAGCAACCCGCTGTCATTGAGTGGGGGAACAAAGTGGGACGTCTGGAGATTATGATGTCCTTTCCAACCTTGGCTATGTTATGATTATAAACAGCTCTTGGAAAAATGTGGCACACAACGTTGGCTCCAGGTGGCCAAGAAAATGGTCCTGTGTCTCTGTTCCTGCTCTGCAGTGTTCACTTCACTTTCATTAAACCCTGAAGACATAATCTTTTGCTGCTTCTCTTTCCCAGTTGTACAACATGGAACTAAATATACATACCTATTTCCCCATGGTTTGGTAGAAGCATGAATGATGAAGAATGACTTAAAGAGATAGTTGAAATGTACCTCTAATAGTCAGGAAGCAGCAAAGGCTGACAGTTCTCTGCAGGGGCTGATCACGGCAGGGCCCAGTCTCCCAGTGCCCGAGGAAGGCAGGTAGGGCAGACATGGGGTTTGAGGACTCGACTCAGCCCAGTCCAGTGTGTCTGGCAAGTGTATGGTGATGGGTCAGGTCTGAAGTCAAGCCAGGAAGTCAGTCTGCCAGTGTGGATCAGGTCCAGTGATTTCTAGGCATGTCTATCATGACAAAGCCATCCTGAGGTCAATCTAGGAAGCGAGTCTGTGGCCCAGCACACCTCTGGCTGAGGTGAAGACCAGTGCTCCTGCAGCATGGCTCAGGCCAGGACTGAAGGCTCCGGCCTGAGCTTAAACAGAGCACCTGAGCTCTTTGTTCAGGCTTGTGGGTGGAGAGTGGAGGTGAGGCTGCGCACTCATTAAGGGCTTTTAGTGCACTCAGGGCCCTGACACTGTGGTGTTGTGGATTGGTGGGTTTTTTTAGTTTTGTTGTTTTGGTTTGGGTGTTTTTTGCATAGGTTTTCTGATTTTTTTTTTTGCATAGCTCATTACTGTGTTACTGTTTTTCTCATTTGCCTATATACTCTCACTGAAGGGAGAAGACCAGTCCTATTGGCTATGGTGGAAGTTAGGTAATTAATATTGCTGTTTTCCTTATACAGAACTACCAATGAAATAAAAAACTTGCAGTACCTACCTCGAACCAGTGAACCCCGTGAAATGCTATTTGAAGACCGGACACGGGCCCATGCAGATCACATAGGACAAGGTTTTGAACGCCAGACTACAGCTGCTGTGGGAGTGTTGAAGGCTGTGCACTGTGGAGAGTGGTATGTGTTGATTGATTTATTCACCTAGTTGTTTCAAAAACACTTGCTTGAATTTCTATTTCTAAGTGGTAGAAGGAGCACAGAATAGCTTAATCTGATATTAGAGGTTTAATGAAGACTTGGTAGATACTGGACTTTTTTCCCCTCTGCCTCTGTGCACCAGATGTGTTTGCCCTCTGCTAGATGCCGTACAGTGTGGCTGTGTTGTTGAAACTAGAAAGGTGCCTTGCAGTGACAGGTTAAGAGCTGTAATTGAGTTGCTGTAACTGAGTTAATGTAAATGTAAAACCACTTTACATTTTGTTTTGCTTTAAATAGTGCGTATAGACTGACCTGAGTTTTGCCTCAGGCGTGTATGTGAAGACCTTTGGCAGCTGTGGATTTTTTAATGCTTCTGCTTCACAGTCATGGCTTCTATAACCCTGACTTATTTGTGGTGGATCACTTGGGAAGACTCCTGTTGGAGGCTGTGTGATAGTCTTTGGTGTCTGTTTTTGGAATTCCCATGTCAGATTCAGGAAATGAATGTATCTCATTTGAAGCTGTTTACTTTTTAGCCAAATAAAAAGCCCGTAATCGTATGGGCTTCCTGGCCCAGATCTAAGAAGCGTTTTTCAGGATCTTCTGACCTTGGTTTGGGAGAATGACACCAGGTTTTGGAGGTTACCTTTGCATACGCAAACACTAAAACCACCTTTTGCTCTTTGTATGTCTAGAAATAAGAAGGAATTCTCTTTGGGTGAAATGATGCAAATCTGTGTTACAGTGCATGAGTTCATTCAGATAGAAAATGGAATAATTGCTGCGGGGGAAGAACTGGATTGTTAATGAGTTTGTATTTTGGGCTCTGAGGTTTTGCAGTTTAATTCCTCTTCAGGTTGATGATAGTTGGAGCCTTAAACTCCTTGCTTGCTCTGATTGTGAGAAGCTGGAGTGAATTAAGGCTGAGCAGTGGTAGCAGGGCAAGAGGTGAGGTGCTGTGTAGATCTGATTATTTTGAATTACACTTTGCACACATGAGGGAGACTCAAAGCTTCATCAAAGAAGGAAAAAAACCCAACCAAACAAAAAAACCCCAAACCAAATAAAACCTTGTTCCCCAGTCGTGTGCCTGTGGAAATTAATAAGAATTTAAGTTGATAGTAACTTAAATGTCTGTGGGAAGTTCCCATTCTCATCCTATACCTTCATAACAAGATCCCCCTCCCTTGGAATCGTTACTTGTTTGTTTACATTCTAAAAATAAATTTCTTTTCATATCTTAAACCATCAGCTTCTCACATACATTGGAACTTGTGGAAAAGGGTGTCCGTTCAACGTCCATTAAAACTCCTTTTAAACTAGAAAAAATGAATGGAATTAGTCAAAATAAATTGTGTGGATTAAAAAGTGATCTGAAAATAGGCAAAACTGGCCAACAAACTTGAGAATACTTCCATTTGGGGGGAAAAAAGTAATATCAGCATTTCACTTCAGTGTAAGGACTGAAAATGTATCTTTTAATGCAGAATAAAAAACTTGGGACTCTCATGTAGAGGAGGAAAATATATATGACACAACACAATAAAAACTATGTAATTCAAGATTGATTTGACTTCAATGATAATTACTCCTTTGCCGTTCCACCTTTTTTGTATAATTTTGAAAAGCCACCTCACTGTCCTTACTTGAAGGGAACTAATCAGGGCTTATGATAATGAAGCATCATTTATTAATGTAACACATCAAAATAATTTCAGATACTAGCTTTTACCATAATTTGTAAGCTGTGGGTAGATTTATTTTAAGGGAAACAACATGCATGGAAGTTTTGAAAAATCTGAAAATCTGGGTGTGTGGTGTGGGTGTTTTGGGGTGTGTGTGTTGTTCTGTGGGGGTTTTTTTTAGATCTGTTTGAGTAGCTGAACAGAACAGCAGGTTGGAGGTATTCTAGGGGTGCTGAGGCAGTATGGCAGTACAAATGCACGTGTTTTAATGATAGCATACATTAAATTAGTGTTTTCTGTGAGGAGAATAAAGCAATTCCCAGGCTTGCTGAACTGAGTTATTAGTTTGTGTTTAGTTAGTATAAACCTGATTTGGGTCTGCAAAAAAAGCTTTGGAATCAAGAAGTTACTGTAGCGTTAAAGGAAGTGGGATTTATTTAGTTGCTGATAGGCATGAATGTCAATGTTAGGTGAGATAGCTGGTGTCTTTCAGAAAAGACAGGAACAGAACTGTTGAATGGCAAAAAGCAGTTTTTGGGGATAGGGGACAGAACTGGAAACAAAGCATAGTATTTGGAAGAACAAAAGAATAACTTTGGCTTTCCTGGATGTGACAGGCTCTTGATTTGAGAAGTTTTGTAAAATTACTGGGTTATGATTTTTTTTTTTCTGAGTATTTACAAATTGTAGAAGAGCTCTGGCTGTTGTTAGCCAACATTTTAAAGACTGTGCTGCATTGTAGTCTGATAAATGTTGGTGTTGTGATCATGCGGATTATGTAATGCCATTTTTGTAGGTGATAGCAAGTGTGCTTTATAACTTATGAAATGCCAGTGAAAGCATTTAAATTATGAAACATTGAAGATTTTTACATGGGAAATTTGAGTGGGTTTTTACAGGGACAGCAACAGGCACTTCATGGCATTGCTGTTGGCAGAATCAAACCCTTCTGCCCTGTGCTTCAGCAAGCAGCTTTCAATTTCGTGTTCCAGAGCGTGAAGTTGTTAGTGCGTCTCTGATCCTGGGGATTTGTTCTGTATTGCCAGACTTCATGCGTTAGGTCAGAAATGCTCATGGTAAAACCTGTAGTCTTGAATCTGTTTTGAAAACTTACAGCAAAAAGAGTCCAGCCCTTTCGAAGAATGAGGTTAAGGAAGAAAATTATTGCCAAAAATGGTTCTAGCACTGCTCTAGTAGAGACTTAAATCGATTTTTCTGAAGTCATCTTATTGTTCTATTTGGATTTGATGTCTTTTTGGACATCGAACAGAACTATTTTGCTATGGTTTTGCTTGGGGGTGTGTGTGACACCCTTTAAACTTTAGGTTTTACAAAATACAATCTCAAAGTTGCGCTAAATATCAAATCTACAAATGCAGAAATAAAAATTGTCTGGCAATTTTTCTGCTGTGTTTGCAAAAGGAATGTAATGTCTTGTGATAAAATTGCAGCACAGAGTTGGTAATGCGTACTCTTGCACACAGGCACACACGTACATATATGTAAACGGACTGAGAAGAGGAACGGTTTAAAAAAAATCATTGTACTTTCTCCTGTATAATGTGTAACACATGGCGTAGGCACTGCTGTGGAAACATTGCTTTGGGTTGAAGTTCTTCTAGTATGCCTTTTAATCCTTAACTTCCTCTACAAACATTGTGAGCTCCAGGTGCAGATACATGTTTTTAAAAAAATAATGTATTGGCATTATAAAAACTAGATTAATGTACCTAACATTTTTTCATGCCACTCATTAGAGATGTTTCTGTAAGCTTTTTGCTTTCAGTGCTTAAATCCTCTTCAGGAGTATATAGACCAAAATAGAGACATTTTAATCTTTGTAAAATGGGAAGTAAAATATATGATCTCAAAATTCTCCCTAGTATACTTTCAGTAGTTGATCTGGGATTTTTTCCTCCCCCTGAAAATAGCCTCAAACTGGTTATTTTTTGCTGTATTGAGGTCATGACATAAATAAAATAAACATCTCTTGTCAGTTTTAAAAGACCAATAAACTGTACATCATTGCCTGTTTCTTAGAATGTTTTTAATATCATACATATATATACGTGTGTGTGTGTATGTATATATAAAAATATAAATTTATTATCATCTTGCTTTTAAAGAGCAGTGCTTGAACATCCACTGAATAAATTCTGGAGCACATGAAACTCTTTTGCTGCATCAGCTCTTCCCTGGACCCCCGTAGATCCATGGCAGGTGCGGGGCACGTGGGGGGCTGCCCGGGGGGGTGGCAGGGGCCCCCAGCCCTGCAGGTGCGAGGGAGGCAGGAGGCCGCCTAAGCTGTGGAGAAGGTGCTGCCCTCCTGTCAGCCTGGGAGGGCTCTGCTGAGGGTGACGGAAGAAAATCATCGACCCAGCTCTGTCTGGCTGCCGAGCTTTCCTTGCAAAACCGCTCCAATAGGAGCTTTATCCTGTAGAACTGAAATCTTCATGTCACTGTGTTTTTAAAAAACACCAAACGTCCCTCAAAAGCAAACACATGGAGCTCAGTTTCAGGTGTTTCCATTGAAGAACTGAGTTTGGCTTTTCAGTGATAAGGATTGTTGCTGTTTCTCCTTGTGTTAGCTAATTCTAGATAATGCCTCTAGAGGAGTTACAGAAACGGTGTGTTTCTGTGGGACAAGGAGTGAATTCTCCTAACCGATCTGAGTACAGAGACAACCCTAATTCAGGTTTTGCTCTTCTGTAGCTCTCTAGCAAGCACAAATAGGAATGTATTTTTAAGGGATGTTTTCTGGAGGATGCCAGTATTTGCAGCTTACTGCTGTGTTGTGGCAGCTTCACGTGGATTCGGCTTTACTCTTGGCTCTGAACGCGGTGTTGGAGGTGAAGATGCTAACCCACGCTTGCCATACTACTAGTCAGACTGCTTGTACTCTGAGGTGCCCGATGAGCATATCCGGTTAGAGTGTGGATAGAGTAAGCCAGATGTGTGCGGGGTGTCTGGCTTTCAGCATCGAGGCAGACAGCGGTCCATTAAAACTAAAAATTGAAGGTAGTGAGTTTTGTTGACCTTTCATTGCTGCTTTTACTGCTGCCTGTAAAGAAATCGTGGTTAATTTGTTTCACCAGTTTAATGAGTTGTGTTTGAGAAGCAGCCATTTTAGTCAGCCTTTTATCTTCAACATGTAGGGTATGCTCGAATTGGGGTGTTTTTATCATTTGCTTCATCCTTGTTTGCAGACTTTCTTCAGACTTTCTCTATTATTCTCTGTAGCACGTCAGTTTCAGCCTCTGACTGTGCCATTCTTACCCTTCTGTAGGTCTGAGCAGCCTCGTATAACCAAAGATGTAATTTGTTTTCATGCTGAAGATTTCTTAGAGGTAGTTCAGCGAATGCAATTAGACTTGCACGAGCCTCCACTCTCACAGGTAAGCATGCGATGATCTGTCGATCAAGTGTCCTCTGAGTCCTAAATTGCAGTTTTCACCTTTTCTTTTTTCCCCTCTTTCTTACTCCAGTGTGTCCAGTGGGTTGATGATGCGAAACTTAATCAGCTGCGAAGGGAAGGCATTCGTTATGCCAGAATTCAGTTATTCGATAATGACATTTATTTCATCCCAAGGAATGTTGTGCACCAGTTCAAAACAGTTTCAGCGGTGTGCAGTTTGGCTTGGCACATCCGGCTCAAGCTGTATCATTCAGAGGAAGAACTTTCTCAAAATACAAGTACTGTTGAAGCAGGGACCTCTGCAGACCCCAAGTCTTCGGTTATCGGACTTCAGACTGACAGCAGAATTTGTACGATGAGCAAAAATACCTCCGAAGACACCAAATTTTCAGATGTTCCGCAGACGAAGTATCTGCAGCAGGGATTTGTGCCGATAAAAAATGAACCTATGACATCTCACCGAATAAAAGAAGAACCCATGAATGTTGATCTTGCTGAAAAGACAGCGGCACCTAACGACGTCGGGGGCCAGAATGTTCAGGCTAGGCTGGATCACGTCGAATTGGCGGCGTTCAAGTTGGAAATGGATCCTAAATTTGAACCTGGCAACAAGGACTTAGAAGGCAAGTTATGCCCTGGAGGTCACATACATCCAGATGATACAAGACAACATAGTTCATCATATCCAAAACTGCATGGACAAAGAGAGGATGATTTTTTGTGCTAAATTTGTATATATGGTTTTAAATTCCTTTTTAAACTTAATGATGTAATAATGTAAAGATTCATAAATTCTGTGAGGCGAGTTTGTGACTTGCCTTCGCATCTGTTACAGAAAATAGTTATGTAGCTTTGTAACATTCCTCAGTGCCTGTCCATAACTGTGAAGTATCAAAGCACTTAGGGCCAGATGCACTGTAAACACTGCAGGTTTAACATAAAGAAGTCTTTAAATAATTTTGAGTTGTAGGTTTTAGAGTAGAGCTGACATTTAACATATATATTTTTTGTAAGATGAGCCAGAATTCTTTTTGACAATTCCAGGCTTTTCCATAGAGCTTATTTATACCAATTTTTTCATTTTAAATGTGTCAGCACTGTAGTGTAAATATCTTTTTTAAAAATCTTTTTAGTGTGATTTATACTGAAATGTGAGCCGCTTAATAAAGGTTCATAATAACAGATTGGTTTTATTTTTGGGTCTGCAAAATATAATTCAGTTAAACTGCCTCTCTAAAAGCTTATGTTTCTACCTGCACTAACGCATAGGATGCCCTTACGCCGTTGTGGGGTGAGGAGCTGTAGCAACCTGAGGTAGAGCCGAGGCGTTCTTTGTAAATTGAGATGAGCGAGGATGCGAAATCAGTCCTCCCTTCACAGGTTTCCTTACAGTTGCTCATTAAAGGCACCCCCCGAACTCCTGCTGCCAGACGTTAATGTAGAGCAGAGGGGCAAACCTTCCCGGTTGTGGAGGACAGCTGGATGCCCGGTGGGCTTCGGGAGCGCTGCCAGTACCTGTGTGCATCTCTAGGTGAGCTGGCGCAAGGGAGCAAACTCCCTCCTAGGCTCGCCTCCTCCCCCTGCTCAAGCCACGGTTAAGAGAGTTCTATTTCACATAAAAACCCCCGAAGAACCACCTCCCTCAGCTTCAATCAGTTACCTGACTAAAATTAAAACAGAAGAACAGTTAAACAGTTGCTTAGCGAGCTGTGAAGGCCTCAGCTTTAGCAGTCACCTGCAATTCAGGGAGACACATCTGGGTTTGAATTGTTCCCTGTGCTGATAGCACCAGGCCATAAAGATACTGGTAGGAAGATTCCTCGTGAGTCCCAGTTTGGAAGGAAGAGTTGTTTGGTTAAGGAAATAGCAGAGGTGTCCAAGTTAACTGCTGTCCCCTCTCTCCACTTGCGAAACGCTCGGGTTCTCTTAAGCCGTGTTTGGAGGGAAGAGGATTTCAAGGCTAGCTAGCATCTGCTGTGGTCATGGCAAAACCTCTGTCACTTAACTTAATTCTTCGTGTAACATATTACTGTATAGCTCAGACACATCTGAATGCTGTTTCTTTTTCGGGTAGCTACAAATAGCAGTAAACTGCCCTACAGCCTGTCCTTCAACTAGGTGTTGAAAACTTCAGGTGCTAGGCCTGTGGTTATTTCTGAAGCCCTCTGTATCTGTGATTTCCCCCCAACTTTCTGCCAGTTGTACATCCGTACGTACCCAGTTTATAACTGTTGATGCACTTAGTGATTACTTGGGCTTCATTTGTAGCAATAGAACAATGTGATTTCCAGGTGATGTCTAATTAACTACCTGAGGCCCTTTTGTTGCAAATGTTTTTTGCTTATAGGTTGTTAAAATTCAAAATGTTCCTGCGTGCTTAGGCCTGGCACTAAAATCAGCCATTTAAGAGATGAGTGCTCTGATTTGTTTAAATCTAAAATAGGTCTGTCAAGGAATTATTAATTAAACCAATATTTGAATTGCTAAACATTACTCCCGCATAGCCATAATTACGCACTAGAGAAGCAATAGAAACATGAATCTCTTGGATGTGGCTAATAGGTCCTTAAGTCTTACTGCTATTCCTTTAATGCTAGCTAAGAGATTACTGCCAGTTTTGCAGCCTCAGGGATATTGCTTTCCCCTCACGCCACGAGCAAATGATTCATGTGTGACATGGTAAGTTATTCCTCTAGCAGATTCTGATTTGGAAAATGAATTGGTTCGTGTAAGAATTTGAGCCTTCCTGGTAGTAGAAATGTGGCCTCAGTTCCCTTTGTGTGCTCTGGATTATCTGGAAACTTTCACCCATAATCTCTTTGGCTTTGTGAACACCCGTACACGACTGCATAGCCTTCCCTTGCCACTGTGCCAGCCGTTGGAGAACAGTGAAGAGAAGAGCTGCAGGTTGTAGTTTGCACCAAGCATGCAGCTTTCCAAGTGGGTTAGCAGAACGCTCTGGCTTGATCAAAACCAGTCTTGCCAGATACTGTTTGGCGCTTTTTTAAAAAAACCCCACCTATTTAGTTTGCTTTTAAAAAAAAACCCACCTTATTTGTATGCTGCTGATCTGTATGCTGATCATTCTGGTTCAAGTATCTATCTATTTTTTTGAAATCTGTCAGATTTTAGTGAAGTGAATACATCCTCCTTGACAGCAAACAGCTTTCTGCATCGTAGGCCCTGTCCAGACTGAGAAACTAAATCTTTGAAAATGGCTTAGCAAACCCGAGTTACACTGAAGAGCAGAACTTTGTTTCCTTTTGAACACCTGCTCAGTGGTCTTGGCTGATACGGCCTCAAACTTCTGCTCAGGTGTGTCTTGGTCCTGAAGTTTTGCTTCTAAACTGCCTACATCTTCAACCCATTTTTTTCTTTTTTTTTTTTTAAATCACTTTTAGAACTTAAAAGTGGTAGTTTTTGCAGCTGTTAAACATCCTTTATTTTTGATTTTCAAGATACTCAGTTCTCATTTTTAGACAGAATCCTTGCAGACAGAATCTGAATGATACCGGCCGCCTGGCAGCTCTCGGGACTCCCTTTGTTTTTCAAAGGTGGAAACAGCCCGGGCTGACGGGCTGTGGTAGTGTATGTGTCTGCCTTTGCTCTTTTTTGGGGGGGCGGGGGGGGGAAGAGTTTTTGTCCTCTCCCCGTGGTGTGTTTGTTTTGATGCGGTTGCTCTCTTGAGGGGAGCACCTCGTCTTAGAACTTCAGCTCCCAAGTTGTTGGCTACTCTGGCAAAGGTCTTGCTTTGGTTTCCCGTGCTCCTACGCTGTGACCTTTATTCCTGCCACGTACAACTTCATAGTCAGACTTTTGCTTCAGCAATAAATCTTTCCTGCCTTCTGATGTACTGAAACTTTGCTTATTGCCTTTTTCCCCCTCCCTGGATTTCAGTTCTGCCTAAATCTTCCTGTTGTTTTGGCTGAAATCTCCAGTGCTTTAGTTGTCTCTCTTGGCCCTTTTTCTTCTGCAGATTGGAAAAACCTGCTTAAGGCCTATGGCCTGTACTGCAGTGGTGTTGACATCTGTGCGTGTGCAGTGGTGTTCCAGTTAGCGACATGATGTGCAAGAATTTAGACATGTTTTCCTAGATATCGGTACCGTATTTGTGGGTAGCAAAGCATTGCATTGTTACTGTCACTACCAATAGCTTTCAAGATAGTAGCTGCATTTTGGTTTTTTAAATTACTGGATCTTTTGCATTTCACTGGCAACCGACTTCCTGTGTTACAAACGAGTGTTCCTCAGTGTTGTGTCATCCCCCAGCCCGCCAAATGTCTGCGAATTGACTCTGAAACAGCATTTTCATTACAGGTACTGCTGGCATGCAGATTTTCCCTTCCTTGTTACTATAGTGAATATTTCAGTACTTCTTTAACAGAAATATTAATTCTATCTAGTATTAGAAATAAAGTATTATTTCAGAGGGTGATGATTTAAGTATTCATCTGTGAAAGAATTCCTTGGTGATAAATAAAATGGATTTTTAAGCGGATACACACGTGCACAGTACATAAGTTGGCATTGCAAATGATGTAGGAAATGGAAACGTAAACTAGTAGAATGCTGTGAAACAATCCGAACGTTACAGATTTGGAAAATAAAGTCTTCCAAGAAACACAGGACAGGAATTAATGAATCAAAATGACTGTTTTCTAATACCTGCATGTGAATAAGGATGCTGAATTGATTGAAATAAATCCATGTGTTCTCCGTGCTCATTGGCAAATAAACTGTTGTGAGACAGTAGACCACCACCTGACCCTACTAGGATGAAAACTGTACTAGTTCTGACCAGGAGAGAGAAGAACTTTGCAGCCTTCTCGAGTGTAACTCTCTTCACTTTTTTTCTAGTGGTCAGACACGTAGAGAACCTTGTCTGTGGGCAGCCAGTGCCTGTTACCTTCCTGTGAATGTAAACGAGCTGGAAATGGAAAGGACGGGTTTTCACTGCTCTGTGCGTCGCTGTGAATGACACTGGGGGAATGTTTGATTGTGAGTCGCTGTGCTCCACTGGTACCTTGTTACTGTCTCAAACAGGTGAAATGCACTTTAAAACGTGTAATAGGTGATGCTGCTATTTTCTGCAGATCCAGCTGAATTTGCAGCATACATGGGAAAATTAGGGAAACTTGGACTTCCATCAGTCACTCGTTTCATTTTCCTTAAAAATGCAAATTATTTTGTGTTCTGTTCCGAAGCAGTGACCAACTCCACAATATCTAGGTTGCTGTTTCTATTAGAATCATCAGGGATACTGACTTTGCAAATTTCCTGTATTATATTCTAACCCCTGGTTTTCGCTGTGCTATGATGCTGGTATTTCCTCTGCTTTGGAGCTGTGCTGTACTGAGTGCCAGCTAAACCCTGATCTTCTCATGTTCTGGTTGTGCTGATAGACGAGCCCACTGATGAGGGCATTAGTCCTGAATAGTCCTTTAATATTTGGTGTACAGTTATGATACTCTGCTACCAACATGTACAAACTACTACAAGCAGTTTAAACTTCTATTTTTATCGAGTTTGATTTTTCAGTAACTGCTTCGATACTATGTTTTCTTTTCCCGGTTCATTTCCAGTCCTGAGTGAAAGTGCGGTGCTCAGCAGAGCTCAGGCCTGTGTTTTAAGGACTGTGCTTTTTATGGCAGGTTTTTTTTATGTGGCTGTATTGAGACAAAACAGGGCAGTTACCTGAGAAAGCTGTTCCCTGAGTGTCTCAAGAAGAAGAAACCCTTGAGAATTAGACCTGTGTGTGGAAGACTAGTGTAGTACAAATCAAGACTGCCAAAGCTATATCCTGGGCCTGCAAGAACACTCAGGTGCTTGTCTGTCTAGTCAAGGCAGTTGAGAGCTTTTGTTCATCTGGGAAATGAAATGTTTAGACTAGAAGTCACCTTTCAGCAGTGATGTCTTTATAAGCTTCTACACGGAACACCGAGATAAAAACCAACACAGATAAACTAAGCTCGGGTCCTCCTTCCTTCCCCGTTTCATGCGCTTACGCTGTCATTCTGCGCTGCATGGAGACTTTTCTCACACATGCCTGCTTGTGATGTTGGTTTTGTTAGAAAAGGCAGACCGAAGGAAACAGCGTCACGGAGTTGCGGATTTTTCTACTCTTTATCCAACTTCAGTACAAGGAGAAAACTTTGAATTAGTACTAAATGGTACCCTAGTGGTCCAACTGCAGCGATTCTTTGAATTCCCTCGGTCCACAGAGCCTGATGCTTTTCAGCAGTAAGTCACTACCCAGCCCTGGTCAGGTCTGAAAGGC